CCTTTTTTTTTTTTTTAAGTGTCCTAAAAGACAGGAAACCTGCAAGCAGAAGAAGGTGAAAGATTCGTATAAAAGCAGGCTCAGTCCCCTGAAGAAGAACCTGGAAGAATTTTTAATGCTCTCTGGTCTCCTAAACTCTTAAGTCTCAGAGGCAGGAAAGACTCAACCCATCCATAATCTGCTTAAAGGTCAAGGAAACCACAGAATTCCAGAGTTCCCCACACCCAAAGGCTTTACAACTCCAGGAATATGGCTAGTCCACTGGAAAGAAAACTCTGCACAAGTATTCTGAGAGTCCAGAAGTTTATAGCTAGAAGATAAGTGGATCAGAACCAAATGAAGATCATTCTTTTGCCAGTGTCCTCAACTTTGCTCCTTGTCATTCAAGTCTCAGATCAAAAGTCACTGCCTTGAAAGAAGCACTCCCTGACAATCCATCGTAACGTACCCACCCCCACTTCTCAACTGGTATATAATTAACTATTTGTCTCCTTCAGAGCACTTAACACTCTTTTAAATGAGCTTTTTCACCGTGAATTTGTCTATTGTCCATTTCCTACTAGAATGTATATACCATAACATAGTGAACTTGTCTTCCTCAAGGCCTAAAACAAGCCACATAGTGTATGCTTTAAAAACATTTACTGAAAAGATTAATGAGGTTTCCTCCCTCCTACTTCCCACCCTCTTGGTCCTAAAAACCTACATTAGTGAAATGCTGTTAACTAAAGGCTTACATCATTAAGTTTTCCCTTAGAGTATAATCTCAGATATTTCAATAATTCTTGTGAAACATTTATATTTCAAGTGTCCAGTTTAGATTTAATCATATATATTTATGATTTGAGAGGCATTGCTCACAATGTTTTCTTCTCTTCCTTACTTTCCCATCTTGAAATCTCTCTTCTGAATTAATCGTCATTTGATAAAATTACATCCCCAAGTATTTTCTTTAGATAGGATTCCAGATACATTCTAAATCCTTGCATGTCCAAATACGTCCCTCATTTTCTGTCATGGATGAATGATAGCTTAGCCACATATGAGACTCTTGGATGGCAGGTCTCTCCTCTCAATAGTCTATAAATGTTTTTTCACTGCTTTCTAACTTTCCGTGTTGTAGATGAGAAAGCAAAACGCAATGCTAGAATAATTGTATTTCCTTTGCAAGTAGTATGTTTTTCTCTTTAAAAGATTGTAACCTTTTTCTCTTTAGCCTTGGAATTCAGGAATTTCACTTAGAACAAATGGACTTTTTTGCTAAATATAACAAGCCCTGGTGAGAGTAGAAATGGATATACTGGTGGACACTGCACTAGCCATGGGGGTTTAGCACCTGAGGGTATCAGACAACATTACTGAAGGATGGAGACCCTGGGGGAGCCGAGTTTGGTTAAGGGGCTCCCATTATAACCCAATTATTCAGATTCACTGAGAGTGGGAATCAGCAATATCTTCAGAAAGTTCTTAGCATTATCTGGAATTCACCAAATAGAAGTACATCGTAATGCACACGGGAAGGTACAATTTAACTGTAATTCAATTTATGGTTCTGAATTAGCCACACCAGCTCCAGGCAAAGACATTTGTTCAGTGCACGAAAGCAGTTCAAGGATAAATAAAATTTAAGCTGTATTAAGAATGGAATATAAAAAATAGTGAAAAGATTATACTGAAATTATCTAAAGCCTTTCCTAACCCTTGCCTTCAGTTTTGATGATCTCAAATCGTAAAGAACAAGACAAATAAAACCTTTTTCCAAACTGGCAGCAAAACCTAGTTGAGTATTGTCACATTCAGCGTTATAAAATAATAGAAATAGAGCTACTTAGTTGAGAAATAAAAAGCCATCTAACAATACAAGGTAGATTCACAGAAAATAGTGAATGATATAAGAAAAAGATGCAGAAGACTAATTTCTTCCAATTTCTAAAGGTTTTCTCTTAGTGAACTTAAATCATAAAATAATGTCTTTGAAAGCCAAAATTTGTATAGAAATAATCTGTTATACTCATTGTAGAACAAAATTAAAAGTGAATAATTCAACCATATAGTGGTTTTTAAGAGCTATACATTGTTGCTACAGCAACAATTCTTTTTCAAAACCCTTCATCAATACACAGTAAATTGAGAATGTAGCCACTGTTCTGATGATCATGGTGAAACATAAGCTATAACCCCAAATTTGGGTTTCCCCTCAAATTTTATTGACATATACACATTTTAACTACAGCGCATGTTCTAATCACCTTGACTCTCAGAGAAATTTCCTTAGAGTTCACCAAAATAATACGAGTATACTCATTTACACTGTCTCCACGTTCCCAGTTCACGTCACTAAACTCTTTCTGTAATCTATTAACACCACCCATATTTATTTGGCTTTTGCCACTTGTATTAAAAACGGGAAAATTCTGGCTCCACTCAAGTATTGATCGGTTTTATCCTCTTCCTATTTCTCAAGCTTTTTAATGTCTTGGCATTCTTATAGAAAATGAACTTTGAAAAAACATTATCTGTGACTCAACCGCAATAACTTCTTTACTGAAGCCATTACCAAACCAAGACTGTCATGGGCAAAAAGAAAAGTTTAAAATGCAACTTTTAGCGATACTATGCTTGGCTTTAAAGTATGCTTAATATGACAAGAAACTAAGTTCTCTTTGTTAACCTGGAGATGATTCAAGGCAGAGTAAGAAAACCAATCATCCAGCTGGTCTCTTTGTTGTCTCTCCTCCCAGCCCTGCCTCATCATTTCCTTCAATGATTTCTAGGCTTTTTTCTGACAGATTTAGACACAGAGAAGTCCTAAATAAATTAGCTAAGCACCCACACACCGAAAAAGAGAAAAGCAAAAGCTTCTGAGAGAAGGACAACAGGAGGTGCAACTCATGTCCCTACTCCAAATTCTTTTGCATTGAGAAGATAAAAAAGGAGAAAACTACTAGAAGCCTTAAGAACTACCCACCAGACAATTATCATACAAATGTATAAACACGGTCAGTTTCAACAGCCATTTACTCAAGTGCAATGTGGCTGCCAAATTCTCCCCTCCCAGGAAATACTTTATGAATAGCAGACAATGAATTGTTTAGAAAAACAGTCTCTAATGAGCCCACGATAGAAGTCATTAGTATTTAAGTCTTTACTCTTTCTAGATAAGAAGCTGACTGAGAAATTCTGCCTTTAGAACTTCCAGGCTCCAGTGAGGCAAGGAGGAAGAGCTGCAGTGATGAAATGGGGTACCCTGCCTTATATGAGGGAGGAATACTTTTTAAAAGTTGTGAAAGGCTCCTAGACTTCTATTTCCAGCATTATGACAGACCACACACCCTGAAAAACCCACCTGATTGCAACAGCTAAAATGCTACATAAGGGGCTGGCCTGGTGGCGTAGTGGTTAAGTTTGCACACTCTGGTTTGGTGACCTGGGGTTCACAGGTTCAGATCCTGGGTGCAGACCTATGCATCACTTATCAAGCCATGCTGTGGTAGCATCCCACAAATAAAGTAGAGGAAGATGGGCACAGATGTTAGCTCAGGGCCAATCTTTCTCAGCAAAAAGAGGAGGATTGGCAAAAGATGTTAGCTCAGGACTAATCTTCCTCAGCAGAAAAAAAATCTATGTAAAATATTTAAAACATGCTTTGTAAATAGCACTGCTGAGCTGGCAGGAAGGGAGAAAATCTCCAGGTGTAGCACAGAGGTGAGAAAGTACCCAAGTAACTTTCCACCACAAAGGCTCTGCCGACCCCTGGACCCTAGAGCTTCCCCCGATGGCTGCACAGGGCACCTAAGGGATATTCAGGCTTGGGGCTCACCCAAGTGGGTAACTTCACAGAAGACTATCTAGTTTTCCTGGAAAAGCTAGAATCCCAAAGGTCACTCATTGTAAAAAATCACAAAAAAAATGGAAAAGTAGCATACTAGTTTCCTACTGCTGATAAAACTAAATAATACAAACTTAGCTGCTCATAACACAGATTTATTCTCTTACAAGCCAGGAGCTCAGAAATCTAAAAATCAAGATCTTGCCGGGGCTGAGTTCCTTCGGAAGGCTTGAAGAGAGAACCTGTTCCCTTGCCTTTCCAAACTCTGGAGACCTCCTGTACTTCCCGGCTCATGATCCCTTCCTCATATCACTCCAGCCTCCCACTTCCACCCCCCCAGCTCCTACTTTCTAGCTCTGACTCCTCCTTGTGTCCCTCTTGTAAAGACCTTTGTGATGACACTGGAGTCACCCGGATAATCCAGCATAATCTCCTCATCTAAATATCCTTAACAAGATCACATCCACGAAGCCCCTTCTGCCACACAAGCTGACATTCAAAGGTCCCAGGAATCACAACATGGACATTTGGGGGAAGAGGGGAATTATTCAGGCTACCACAAGGTATCAGAGGAAATATGCTATTTCATTGAGTAAAAGGAGAATAAATCTCCATTGAGGTGTATTTGTCTTCACAATGGTTGGCGGCTTAAATTCATTCTATTTGTGTAGTCCAAAATATTTCAGAGAGTTTAGCTGAAAGTGATCACAGGTAGGTAATGGCTCCAATTGACTGACAGGAGTAAATGCAAATTCTCTCTGGAGCACTGAATCTCAGCCCCATGCCTCAAAGCATTATTCCAGAAACATCCGAGAAAAATAAGCAGCTCACAGACAAAAGTCACAACATAAATAAGGAAATGAAGCACCAGAACAGTCTACTGAAACAATCAGCAAAAATCAGACCAGCAAAAATCTCAGAACATAAAACCATATTTAGGGCCTGGCCCAGTGGCGTAGTGGTTAAGTTCGCCCACTCTGCTTTGGCGGCCCAGGGTTCACAGCTTTAGATCCTGGGCACGGACCTACATACTGTTCATCAAGCTGTGTTGTGGTGGCACCCCACATACAAAATAGAGGAAGATTTGCACAGATGTTAGTTCAGGGCCAATCTTCCTCACCAAAAAAAATAAAATTAAAGTTTTTAAAAGTAAATAAAACCATATTTAATATGTTAAAAAAAAAAAACACAAAAGATCCTGTTGACATGCAAAAGGAATAAGAGACCATAAAGAATACCCAAGCAGATTTTTAGAGAAACAAAAAAGAACCCTAGAAATAAAAGATATTAAAATTTAAAGCTCAATGAATGGATTAAACAAATTAGACACATTAAGAAGACCACAGTGAACTAGAAAAGAAATCTGAAGCTATAACACAGAAATTAGCTCAAAGACAGGATAGAGAAAACACAAAAGATATTAAGAGACAGGATGAATAAACTAGAACGTTCTAAACTTCATTTAACTGGAGTTTCAAAAAAAGTAAATAGATATTGAAAAAAAGTCAATATATAAAGATGTTGGCTGATAATTTTATAGGACTCTTGATAAATACAAATCCTCATGTTAAGAATAAATGCCAAAAACAGTAAATTAAAATGGAATCTATACCTGGATACACAATAGTGAAACTGAAGAGCAATAAAGAAAAAAGAAAAGATCTTAAAAGTGGTCAGATAGGAAAAAAAAGGCCATCTTCCAAATAATACCATAGACTGATGGCTGACTTATCTAAAATAATAAAAGACGTAAAGCATGAAAATTTTATCTTAATGTGCTAATATAAAAAGCGTCAACCTAGAATTCCATAACCAATGAAATTAATCCTTAAGCATGAAAACAAAGACATTTTCAGATAAATAAAAACTGAGAGTTTATCACCAACAGATTCTAACTGAAAGAATTTCTTCATGAAGAAGGAAAATGATCCCAGAGGGAACATTTCAAGTGTAGAGAGGAATGATAAGCAAAAAAAAATTGGTAAATATACAGTAAGCTAAACTACTATTGGCCGTATAAAGCAATAATAATAATATCCAATTCTAGGGGAGTGGGTCAGGATAGAACTAAAATATTGGGGGAAATAGTGCAGTGTAGGGAAGGGGAGACAGAGCCTTTTAGGGCCCTTGATTTAGGAGGAAGGTAAACATTGATTAAATTAGGTTTTGTTAAAGACGCACGTTAAAATAATTATGGAAAACAAACTTAAAATAGACATAAAATATATAAGTTCCTAACAAGCAGCAGCAAAAACGTGGAATGAGATTAAGGGGGAAAAAATCAACTGGGCAAAAATAAAGGAAGAAAAAAGAAGATTGAGATCAACAGAAACCACACAACAAAACGGTGGAAAGAAATCAAGTCATTAATCAGAACAAACATAAATGGACTGACATGTGGACGCCAGCTCTCTAGTTAAATGACAAAAGTTGTCATATTGCATTAATACATGAAATCCAGCTAGGGATGATATTCCAAATATTTGATCACTGGTACAGTACAGGAACTGACCCATCGGAATGGATCTGCCAGCCAATCAGGACTTCACTGGTCATAAGCAGTATGCCCATATGGGATGATACTGACCAAGGATCGGCCCCGAATCCAGCCATACGCTCCCGTCATAAGTCACGTCTGAAACACATGGACACACAAATGTTGAAAATAAAGTGGAAGATGTACCAGAGAAACACTAAACAAAAGAGAGTTGCTAAGTGATATTAGTATCCGATAAAGTATACTTTAAGACACAAAAAGCACCACGAGAGCTAGTCTGTCACTAAATAATTATAACAACAAGAGTGTGCTGGCGCTTCTTCCTTTCGTTTCTGCTCTTCATACAGCAGAACTATTCCTCCTGTGCAGGTCCCACTGCTGTTGGTCGTTTAGCCACACACACGTCCTGGGGTTTGGGAAGAATTCCTTACCAATTTGTTGATCTATTCATGAGTTTTTCATTTATTATCCTTATTAATCTCTTCATTTTTTAAGAGGGGTTTGGGGACAGTTTTAAAATTAAGCTGCCATCTACATGAAAACATGTTCAACATCGTTAGCTATCAGGGAAACGCAAATCAAAACTGCAATGAGGTATCACCTCAGTCCGGTCAGAATGGCCATAATTAACAGGACAGGAAACAACAAATGTTGGAGAGGGTGTGGAGAGAAGGGAACCCTCATACAGTGCTGGTGGGAGTGCAAATTGGTGCAGCCACTATGGAAAGCAGTATGGAGTAGCCTCAGAAAGCTAAGAATAGATCTACCTTATGATCCAGCTATCCCACTGCTGAGTATTTATCCAAAGAAACTGAAAACACAAAGGCATAAAGATACATGCACCCCTATGTTCATCGCAGCCTTATTCACAATAGCCAAGATTTGGAAGCAACCTAGGCGCCCATCAAGGGACAAATGGATAAAGAAGATGTGGTATATATGCGCAATGGAATACTACTCAGCCATAAGAAATGATGAAATCCGGCCATTTGTGACAATATGGAGGGACCTTGAGGGTATTATGCTGAGTGAAATAAGTCAGAGGGAGAAGGTCAAATACCGTATGATCTCACTCATAAGTACAAGATAAAAACAACGACAAACAAACATAGCAACAGAGATTGGATTGGTGGTTACTATAAGGGAAGGGGGAGAGGGGAGGGGAAAAGGGGTGATTAGGCTCACACGTGTGGTGATGGACTATAATTAGTCTTTGGGTGGTGAACATGATGTAATCTACACAGAATTTGAAATATATTACGATGTACATCTGAAAGCTATGTCATGTTATAAGCCAATGTTACTGCAATAAAAAAGATAATTAAGCTGCCATCATACTCATGCTGCACTCATTTCGAAATAACTTGTTTCTACTTCACTTTGGGATCATCTTCCTCAGTAGCGGGAGCATTTTATTTGCCCTGCACCGAGTCTCAGTCTCTCCAGGGTAGCACACCAATCCACATGAGCTGTCCTTTAATTGGAATGTACTGCCTGTGCTAAGAATCGAGGTGGACGGTCTGCAAGCCATTGGTCCTACTGAATCACATATCTTCACTCCACACTTCACATACTTACCAAATAAACAAGAAAGACACATTATGCTCTGCTCTTCCTGTGGTCGTTAGCCAAAAATGAATTGAAACCCGAGAACTGTAAGGGAAAGAACAATTTACTCTGCTTACAGTTTCAATAAAGAGGAAAAATGCTTTGTGTAGATGCCAGCAATTAGCCTGTATATTTTGTTGTAATGCAAGCAGCCAAGCCTGGGTAGTTAAGGCAATAAAGGGAAATGAATAAATCCCTGGCCTGTTGTTATCTTTCAGATCCTGTGGATCCGTAAAAGTTGAATGGGGGAAGAGGAACCTTAGTCAAATAACTTTAAGAGGAAACGTTCATGCTCAAGAAGTGTTGGAAAGCTCTAGAACCATTTCACTCCTCCGCTATTTGCTGTGTCGATCACACATTACCCGGTCAACAGAAAGCTTAACATGTTTTTCACATGTGACAAAGTAGAAGATTTTAACTTTTAGAATTATTATGCTGACTGACAAACAACTTTTCTAAGATTTTTGTTATTTGTAAACATCTCTTCCTTCACTTCAGGAGGATGAGTGTTAGAGGAAAGCAAGAAAGATACAAATTAGTCTATAGTGAGAGAAAGTAGATCAGTGGAGGCCTGGGAATGGGGGCGCAACAGAGGGGCCGTGAGAAGGATTATAGAGGGGCACAACGGTCATCAACAGATGACTCATTTCAGCATCACTCAAGGGAAGACCAGCAGACATTGTGGCCTCCTTGTGAAACATCAAGTAACACCTTTGAATATTCTTGGCCCCAAAACTGAACCTAAATATCATCAAACCTCTAGTCTAGAGCTAACTTCCACTTGTAAGAAATAGAGAAATGGAAGAACGAGTTAAAAGAAACAAGGAAGCAAAGAGACAAACGCAGACTGTGGAGCATTCTGCAAGACTACTGCACCGCTCTCTGCACAGATCAATGGCATGAAAATAAGGGGCCTCGGGGGAAAAGGGTCTGCTCCACATGAAAAAACAGAGAGGCTTAAGGGATTTAACTAAATGCAATTGGAGGAAATTATGTTAAGGCAATATTTCCCCAGTCTTTGGGACCACCAGAAAAATTTGATTATGGACCGAGTGGTATATAATACCAAGGAGTTATTCGAGTACACCTAACAAAGCTCGCAATATCATCACGGGATGTAAGAAAACAACCTTAATTAAATTCCTTTCTAAAGACATAGGACTGAATAACATGGTGTCCGGGATTTCCCTTAACAAACTTCAAAGATTAAAAAGAAAACCAAAAAGGTAGATAAAATAAATGTGGCAAAATCTTGATGATCCATCAAATCTGGCTGCCGGGGATGTGTTGTTCTTTATACTAAAGTTACTTCTGTTCATGTTTGAAATGGTCAAAAATTTTTTCATGAAATTAATTTCTTCAGGAAACTGAGCAGAATTAACCAATATTATGAAATTATCTGAATTCTTACAGAAAAATATATATAGCCACCTAAATGGTTATATTGAAATTTGACTTACTACACAAGTAAGTAAATAATACTTGAATTGTAATTACCATATCAAATTGATGTGCTTACCTGAGAATATTTACAGTGTGATCACAGTAGATACAGACTTTCAGAAGCTTAACAATCATTGTCCATAATGAGCATAGCAGGTCGTTGTTCCACAAATGTATTCTCATGCATGTCAATAGCAACACCTGCTCCCATTTATTTTTTTTAACTCCTACTGCCTGTCAGGCACTGCACTAGGCACTTTACACACATTATTTCTAACTCATCCTGCCATCTAAAAAGGTCGCTATTATTGGGGCCGGCCCAGTGGCCGAGTGAGTAAGTTCACGCACTCTGCTTTGGCGGCCCAGGGTTTCACCGGTTCGAATCCTGGGCGCGGACATGGCACTGTTCATCAAGCCATGCTGAGGCAGCATCCCACATGCCACAACTAGAAGGACCCACAACTGAGAATACACAACTATGTACCGGGGGCCTTTGGGGAGAAAAAGGAAAAAATAAAATCTTTAAAAACGTTGCTATAATTATCACCATTTTACAGAAGAGAAAACTGACTTTCAGAAAGTAATTTGCCAAAGGACACAGGTCACAAGTCTTTCTGAATACAAAGACCAGCCTTTCCACTATCCACAGATAAGAATTCTGCCATCCTATTTCTTACAAATGTACATGTACTGATTATGCAGATTCTAATATGATTCTTGCCAAAGGAATAAAGATGACCAATATGCAGAAGGCTGCAAAAAGTTCTGCGCATTTCGATACATTCTCAAATTTATTCAAAATAGACAGGATAGTATTGTGTGAGGTGTGCTCGTTGCCGGTCCTGCCTGGATTCAAGCTCCAGCACTGTCACTTACAACCTAAGTGACCTTTGGCAACTTAACTCCTCTGAGTCCCAGTCTTGACATCCCTGAAATGTGAATAGTAATACCAAACGATTGGCGCCACAATGATGGCAAATGATGAAACATGGAAGACTCCCAATTTAGTGATTGAGACGTAGCTGAATCCTAAATGTGAGCACCTCTCTCTTACCCACCTTTCATGATTTGTGCAGAAGAGAACAATTCCAATCATAGCTATTCTTTGAAGACTAACCTTCACTGCCAGTAGCAAAAGGAACCATCTATTGCCCAATATATTGCTTTTCTTAGCCCCAGGCGTGGGTGCCCTGAATTTGACCATATAAACTTGTATGTTTTAACTTAAACATCACGTATAAGTCAGGGCTGGACTGCTATTCTCAAGAGTGGCTGGCACTGGGCAGAAGCATTTGCCTTCAACACAGTGTTGCTTATAAAGCTGCTTTAGGGGAAATTGATCCCTCTGCATGTTCAGATCCTGCCTTGTACCCGTCCTGTTAGCAAAGACTTGGGCTAAGTCACAAAAACTCTGCGGCACACAGCTATATTCACCGAGAGTCAAGACAGCGAGCCTCCACAGGAAAAATAATAAAAACCTGACAACCATTTGGAGGAAGACTTTTTTTTTTAATTAAGCATTTTTTATTATTCCATAACCGACATAGCATTGAGTTCTAGTATCTAAGATTTTAACCTATACATTCCCTTCCCAAAGACCTCTAGATTGTTTGTGAGTTAAAATTCAGACCAATATTAATCCATGGGAAAAACACCCGAAGGATAAAGACACACTCTGTCAGATCCAGAAAGAAAATTAAAATACATCTTTATAGAAAAAATATCTGTGAGGTTTATTTACTAGTAACCCACTATGATGCTCAATTTGGCCAAAGAGTTAAAAGTAAATTACTTTAAAGTAAATCTAGGGCATCTACCTCTCTCATCTCTGAAGAAGTGCTCAGGTTCAAAAGATACCAAGTTTTCTACTTTTAATTAGTTGCCATTTTGATGTCAACCTCTAGACAGCATGAAAGGGATCAGCTCACAGGAAACTGAGTGTGACAAAAATCAAGACATCAGAACATAAAATGCCCCCTTGTTTACTTTTGAAATTCCCAGTTCTTGCTGTCAAATTCAGAATGGTGGGGAGAAGGAGATGAAAGATAATCACCAGCTCCCCTTCCTCTCTCAATAAAGGCTTCTCCATTTTCGCAGCTCCAGTAAGCTGGTCACCAGAGGTTTCGCTCAGGAGAATCAAGACCTGCTATCTTCACCGAGAAAATCTTACTAGTTCTTTATGGGGATGCTCAAGAGGCCTGGATATGATATGTAGCTCTAACAGCTGCCAATATTTATATTTGAAGTCACCACTCACCGGGGGTTGAGACAAATCAACAAGACAGGAAAACCTTCTGAACTGCAGACAATGGTCGGATAAAAAGCTTGCATGTGATATAGACTGATACCCACAAAGTGAATTGAAGGTGCTGTGGATTTTTACAGACTTGGAAAATAAATAAGGAAATAACCACATGGACCTTAGTTATATACAGTAGAGTGCAATGTAAAGACAAGACAATGGTATAGAAATCACATTATGAAATGTAGTAGGGGGTAAATTTTTTTTTAAAGATTGGCCCTGAGCTAACACCTGTTGCCAATCTTTCTCTTTTTTTTCTTCTCCCCAAAGCCCCCTGAGTACACAGTTGTATATTGTAGTTGTAGGTCCTTCTAGTTGAGCTATGTGGGATGCCACCTCAGCATGGCTTGATGAACGGTGCTAGGTCTGTGCCCAGGATTCGAACTGGCAAAACCCGGGGCTGCCGAAGTGGAGCATGCGAACACTTGGCCACAGGGCCAGCCCCAGTAGGGGGTAAATTTTTGCAAACCATATGAGATGGAGAAAGGGAACTCTTTAAAACTACAGTCATTCATTCATTCAACACTGAAATAGTGCTTGTCAACTTCTAAGTATGTAAAAATCACAATGGGTGATTATTAAAGATTTTGAATCTAGGAAACCAGCCTCAGAGGCTCTGATTTCGCAGGCCTCGGAAAGGACTCTGGGAATCTGATTTTTTAACAACCATTCCAAGTAACTACAATGCACGTGATCTCTGAGCCGTATTTCAAGAAACTTCAATAAAGCAGAAAAAACACACACGCAAACTTGACTCTCAGTGAAACCAGAAAACAGATAAAACCCAAAATTTCAAACATCTGTGGAAGGGCTGCCACAAGCAGTGGAGATCAAGTAAAGCCGTAAGTTTGAGGAAGTGAAATGGGCAGCAGAGGCAGAGCTCAGAGCTAGCCATCACTGTCTACTTCTTAAAGCCAAGGGACACGCATTGAGGTGCAGAATTTAAGTCCTTTTTCTTTTAGAAAAGAAGGGCAGAGTGTATGGCTAAGCACCAGGAGCTTTATAGCACTACATATGGCTCTGAAAAGGAGGAGGATGGAGCCCCTTAGATGAGCTAGACCTGCAAGCAGTGGTGGCTGCCAGGGGGGAAAAGAGAACCTTTCAAAAATGGGGCAAAGTTCACTACCTGCCTACGTCCTCTGCCTTGAGAACAGTAAAGTTTAAACAAATTCACACAAAAAACGCTGGATGAGAAAAATTCCATCTAATCCAGAACAGGGTCTTGACTCCTTCTCAATTTCATCACGCTGCAACATCTTGTCCCGGAAATACTCACCTCTTTCAAAGATGAGAAATCAAA